TATATTATATTATACTATATTATATTATATTATATTAGATTATATTATAATATATTATATTATATTATATTGTATTATATTATATTATATAAATATATATATATATATATTATACTGTGCCTTACATTTATCGACAAATGTCGACTTTTCACTATTCATACATAGTTACATACACATATCTGTGTGTGGAGCATGCTTCTAGATGTAGTACAAACTTCTGATCTATAAATGATATTTTATTTGATTATATTCCTGTTATTATCACCAACCATGCCTTTTGCATTAATACTCTTATCAATACATTTTAAGATAATAGCCGAATGTTCAATCCAAATATAGACAACAATAGCACTAGATATACGAAACTTTTCAATACACACCAAACCGATATTCTGTAGATTACCAGCAACAATTGCGTTGTAAAGTGGCACATACATGTATTTATCATATTTTAATTATAGTCATATTCAGAAGAATAATCGGAATATTAAAAGCATATTGGATTACCAGCAACAAATGCGTTGTAAAGTGGCACATACATGCATTTAGCATATTTTATTTATAGTCATATTCAGAAGAATAATCGAAATATAGAAAGCATATTCATATGTGGACAAGCTAAAGATATAAATCAATGAACAAATCCTCTAACACGAACGAAATATAATTTAACATACAAGCATAATATGTTCTTTAAGCTTATAAAGTTGTTGGCCAATACAATATACAGATATGCACCCATTTAGGAAAGCCTACGTCTTCCAAATTTTTGACTTCATATAGAGATTTATATGCAATAAGATAACATATAATCAAGATTATGAAAATCGACAATAACGAACCAGTATCGTAATAACGAACATGAGGTTAAAGATAAAACTTCTATTAGTATCCTATTACGATATTTAAAATTAGCAAATATTTTTCTTATGCAATAACGTTATGATAAACAAATAAATAATTATACAAACAAATGAAATAAGCTAGATTCACTAATTATGCCTTCAGTTTTTACTTACGAAAGAAAACAAGGTTTCGCATAGAACAGTACTCGTACTTTATTTTTTATATCAACACAGTTTACACATGCATTTCAAAAATAGGTACTCATACATATTCACGTATATATACATATATATAGCACACATGCACACTTACATATTTCCCACGCACAGGTATCTATACACATCCAAGTTTTCTAGTATACTAAGAAGAGCCTATGTGAGATTATAATAAGATTGAATAACTATACCAATTTACAACAATATAACCACCAGTACTATACACTTTGTTTTGTTAGAAAAATATTCACAAAAAGTATCGACGAATCGGTATCTACCTATATATTTCAGAGACCCATTTAATAGTCCTCGTATTAACACTAAAAATGGTAGTTACTGTAAAACAAGCGGAGTTCGACAGATAATTGATCGCTATATCACGCAGGCCCGAGTAGCCTACAAGAATGACGAAGGCATAATTAATGAATCTAGCTTATTTCATTTGTTTGTATAATTGTTTATTTGCTTATCATAACGTTATTGTATAAGAAAAATATTTGCTAAAATTGAATATTGTCATTGGATACTAATAGAAGTTTTATCTTTAATCTCATGTTCGTTATTACGATACTGGTTCGTTATTGTCGATGTTCATAACCTTGATTATATGTTATCTTATTGTATATAAGTCTCTATATGAAGTCAAGCAGGGATACCGAAATAGCAATCCATATACGACTATGTAGTGTTTGCTTGTGTGTGTACGATATGAAGTCTGCACTCAAGGTGACGTCGCTGTAGTTCTGATGCGCCTCGCATACCCACAAAGCTTCTCATCATCCTGAGAACAAAAAGTGCTGATGTGCAAGTGTGGTATTTCGCACTGCTATCTAGTCGTATACGTTGGCCATGCTACGTTATGTCCCTGGGAGTGCGCATCTGCCGTCATTTACGCGCGAGTCTTTCGAAAAAACCAAAAAAACCAAAGAAACCAAAAAAAACAATTATCAGAGACTCCTGGACTAAGGTGTCCATGGCCGGAGAGTGTCAGATCTTTGTTTTTTTGTTTTTTTTTATGTTTTTTTGGTTTTTTTTATGTTTTTTTTGGTTTTTATGTTTTTTTTTGGTTTTTATGGTTTTTTTGGTTTTTATAGTTTCTGTGGTTTTATGGTTTGTTGGTTTTTTGTTTGAAAGACGCGCGTGTAAATCACGGCAGAGGCGCACTCCCAGGGTCCCCCGTTCTGTATATATATATATATATATATACATGTGTGTGTGTGTATATATATATATACATACGTGTGTGTGTGTATGTGCGTACATATATATATATATATATATATATATATAATATGTATACCTGATGGCGCGACAGAAGTATCCAGGCGGGAAATTGGAACGGACTTGAGCCGTTGCGGGAGGCAGATACTCGCAGTGAAAGCTTCGACGCCGCCTTTACTTTGCAACCTCGCAAATAGGCAGCCACGACGATGGCCTGCCGTCGACGGGGCTTCGTATCTGAGAAGGTCCTGGCAACTTCTGGGTGGTGTCGGACACACAAACACACACACATACACCTACACCTACACCTACACCTACACATACACACACCACGAGCTTGCAAAGACCTCGTCATCGTCGTCAAAGAGCGACTGCATCTCTTCCTCGCGATGCAAAAACATTTAGGAAGCCCAAAAGAAAACATTGGCGACTGCGAGTTTCTGCGCGGGGTGAAAGACCCGTGGCGTCCTCGGCGACTTCCGTGACACCAGCCGACTGCGAGTAGACGACATTCTTCGGCGCCGGCGGGGCAACCCCCACCTTGCAGCGGCTTTGAGAAATCTGGTGCGAACTGCAAGCGCCGTCTGGCCACTACGTTCATGCCTTCTCACAACCGCAGTCCGCTGTGTGTCCGAAGCAGCATGTCAATGTGGCACTGTTCACAACACCTTGCAGACCCCGCCTCAACACAAGCGGCAGAGAGAGAGGGACAGAGATAGAGAGTGAAGGAGGCAGAAAGAGAATGAAACTTCCAAGCTCTGCAGGTCCGTGAGTCTATTCCTCACGGGGACATGGGAAAACTCATGATTGATCGCTTCGATGCCTGGTTCGGCGGCGTGTAACTCGGTGATGCCACAAGCGAGGCATAGGCGCCTCTGTGCGAACCAGCAGAGTACCGATTGCCCACCCCACATCACGACTGGCGGTTGGTTACAGCAGCTTGTTTAGATTGTTAGAGAAACTAACGGCCAAAAGGGACTGTGCAAAGTGTTTTTCACACGGTTTGCTTGGTCAGGAGACTGCCGGCAGTGCAGCATGCAAGCAGTAGGCCTTGAGGAGCATCGCCAGAAGCCTGCCCAAAAGCAACTGAGCTCAGTGTATTCAGGCTCTTGTTATTGTGCTGCTGTTGGTGTTGCAGTGTCTACCAGAAAGATCCAGAAAGGATTGAATCGAAGCTACACACAACAACAGCCGACTGTGGAGTTTGTAGGAGCTAGAGCATTTCGTCTGGTCATGGCAGGGACACTGTAAACCTCGGCATCGTTACTTTGCCGGAAGCTCACTCTGAGTGGACGACACATCACGTCACCGGGCGCAGGCTTTGAATTGACGAAACCTCACGCCCCTACCTCCTGTGATGTTAGGTCTGGCCTGGGGGCCCACAGGTAGATTTCAGGTGTAAGCCATATCCGACATCCAACGAGACACGAAACTTTCGGCAGTGCCTGACCTGAACAAAATTCAACACTCGACAACCTGAGCCTTCTGGACACAGATGAGAATACGGAAGAAACCACTCAACGCAACAGAGGAGGCTGCATCCTAGCCTTTTCTCTGAATCAGTGCAATGATCCTCAGGGAAGACGGTTGAATCGAAAGAGGCCAATCCTCCGCCTGAGGTTGACTTGGCCCTCTTCAGACAAAGCAAGTCAACTCGCCTGATCAATCTCAGGCGATGCCTGTCCTGCATCCGAGGCCTCAGCAGTGGCAGTGGCAGCGATTAAATGCCGTGGCCAGAGCTCTGCACGACGAATTAAGTTTGCCTGGTGTTGCAGCAAGCTGACCACTGACCACAAGCAGATGCTTGCGAGCTGTTAGATGTTGCCTCGATAACGGGCCGTCTCCGTCAGCATTTCATTTTCACTCGACTGCACACGAGTCTCACACTCTCTTTAGTTGGAGTTGTATTCCGATGCTCCGCAGGGAGTCTTGCTACGCATAGTTCCTGAATCTACAGAACAACTGCCTGATTCTCTAATGGGCCGGAAAAAACGCAAACAAAACAACCTGCTTGGGATAGATTAGCTTAAGATCACAAAGGCATGAGTGGCAGAAAGATTAATCTCAACGCTCATGGCCTCAGGAACTGATGGTCTCTGCCTGTTGCCGGCCCGAATCAGAGACATATCATTGGTAATACATATCTTCTGTAAGCTATCCGAATAAAAAAGTGTCACTACAATGTATTATTTTGACGACTCAATCCTCCATAGGAATGCGCCAAAACCCCTTTTTATTGGTTCATCACCCACTTGGGCCCGGGATATCCCGCAGCTCGCACCCGTCCAAAAAAAGTTTATGTGCCAGCATGCAAAATATGGCGCAGACTACGCTTCCTTCAAGAGCGGGAAAAAGCCTGGGATATCCCAGATTTGGATCGGGATGTCCTGCTGCCCCGGCAAGCAAATATCCGGATTTAAGCATTCGCACATCTCCAGGATATGCTGGAAGACTTGATTACACAAAAAGGCCAAACAAATTGTCATGCTATGCCAAAAAGAACAATGTTTCGATATGACTCCAGAAGTACCTACACCTATGCACGACGGTACCCCCCACTATTTTCTCCAAGCCCAAATTGCCTGCCAGCCAACAGCCCGGAAACGCTGAATGCTTGCATGTAGCATGCGACACTGAATCTTTATGTTTGGATGCTTTTGTTGGGCCTAGAGTCTAGGCACGAGCATGACCGAACAACAAGTCACTGCAAAAACGAATGTGTCTGGGGATTCCTTCGGTGAAGCCGGCGAGTGGCCACTGAGTGCATCATCGTCATGGTTGGCGAGTATCCTCCGCTCGGGCAGGATTCAGATCACCACAATGCCAATCGATGCATGGCGGCAGCCATACTGGTAGGCGGAGCTGAGTGCCAGTCGTTGGTAGAAAGCAGCAGTAGAAGAAAAGCAGTAGCAGCAGCAGCAGCAGCAGGAGGAGCAGGAGCAGGAGCAGCAGAAGAGCAGTAGCAGTAGCAGCAGGAGTAGGAGCAGCAGCAGCAGGAGCAGCAGCAGGAGCAGGAGCAGGAGCAGGAGCAGGAGGAGGAGTAGTAGTAGTAGTAGTAGAAGCAGCAGCAGGTGGACTTCTACCGCGACCACGACGAAGACGACCACGACGACGACGACGACGACTACGATGACGAGAAGTACGAGTGCGAGTACTAGTGGTGGTGGCGGCGGGGGTGGCAATGGGACTAGTGGTAGGTGGTCAGAGGTAGTAGTGGCAGTGCCGGTAGCAGTGCCAGTGGTAGTAGCAGCGGCAGCAGCAGCGTTAAAACGATAACCGGCGACTTCTCGCAAGGCCACAGACCTGGCAGTGACCACAATAACGGGCCTGGCGTGGCTGTCGCTGCGATTGTCTTCGCGGGCCTCGGTACAACATGACCTCTCACACTCGACTTGGGTCGCACATCGTCTCGGCAGGCATGCCGCTGCAAGTGAATTATGCCAGGCAAGTCTTGTAGGCAGTCCTTGGGAAGGAAGTTACAAGAAGTCTTCTGAGCTCGCAACATAGGCGAGGTCGGTGTGTATAGTGCCGACGTAGGACTGACGTACCTTAGCGCCGGACAGGGCAGAGTTGGAAAGATGTTCACACGGGCCAATCTGGGCAAATCAGAAGCAGAACCTCGACAGAGATCACCACGACTTCTTACCCTGTAACGCTGCCCTCCGTGTGCCCCTGCGGGCTGCTCAGCGGCGTGTAGCGCGCGCCTGGGCTGGGGCATCGTCTTGCATCTCGGGCGGCAAGGGTGCATCAATGAGGTCAAAGCGCGCTATGACGGGCAAAGGCATTAGTTGAAAAGAGGCTCATGCATTTCTTAAGCAGTCCTTGCTTCATACTTGCAGCCTGGCATAACAAAGAGGAAGTTGCACACACAGCCGCGAATGTGGTCCTGAAGACCTCCATCAGCCCTCAAAGCAGTCCGACAAACCATCCTTCAACGTCTTCACACGTACAACGAGTCGACAGGCCAGCGATGGCTTTAGATATGGTCTTAAAGTGACTTCAGTCACACTGTCCAAGGCGAAAGCTGCTGAGATTATAGTCTTGGTGTCTGAGCCCAGGACTGCCGGCACCCTCGTGCCCCTTCGTCGTCGCACTGCGAGCAGCCAAGTGTGCAGTGTGCAGTAAGTTGCAGGAAAACATCCTGGAGTCGGGTCTTTGAGATCGTTGGTTCGACCATCCCTCGACGGGCCTTCTACGCAGGAATGGCAAGGAGCTCAGCAACTGTGGCATTCACATGCATCAATCTTAGGCACAGTGGATGCTTTGCTCGCTACAGCAGTCTTAGTTTCGCAAGGCCTGCGTTGAGCTACTGTACTCTCGAATATAACTGTGAAAAAAACCAACCTCATCGGAGAGGTAGGCGTGTACATCGCCGATCGCGGTGTGTACATCGCCGATCGCGGCCCCCCATACCTTTGCAATGTGGTTAACTGGACCCTATGGAGTTGGCAAGACACTCAGCCTAAGCGTCAAGGTCCACAGCACAAGTTCATCAGTTTAGAAGAAGCTAAGACCACGGCTTGCTGCTCACGGAGTATCCCGGGCCTGCAGAGTGAGGCTGATGTACACTCGGCTGTGCCTTTGCTTTCTCCCAAACCCTGAACTTGATGCCAAGATCTTAATTTCCAACCATCCACCTCAACCTCATTCAAGCTCCAAAACCAGCTGTCACTGGTCACTTCCCCAATGAGTTACCACAATGTCAAAGCAATTCTCCTGGACTAAACCGCTCAATTCATGTGAGCTCTGGATTTGGGGTTCTTAGCTACGAAGCCGGCATCTGCATGTCGCAGGGATCCGCAGAGTGAGAGTCCAGACGAATGCATCCAAGAATTAGTGAACTTGGCGATTTAATATGCGGCAGCTGCAGCTTCCGCTTGATGCTATGTTTTCCTCTTGGACGTCTCCGGCCACTAAATGTCACAGCTAGGCAATGCTTGATGTAATGCTGTTGCCGAAAGACGACAGTCTTTCCGAAGATGTGCTCGGAGGCCTGCAAGTGTGGTGAGATCGAAGTGGGTTGTTGCAGCTTTTGCATTCCCGAGTCTTCAGACATCCCTGAGAGACCCGAAGCCCCAGACCCCTTACACTCAAAAATTGCCACGAAGGCACTGGTGTGTGGCGTGAGCCGGCTCTTCGGGCTCTTGCTGACGGCCGAGTAGATGACCGACGGACTGCAGGGCCAGGCAATGAAGCAGCCACTTCCACGCAAACTACATCTTGCAGCGGCAAATGCATTCTTTGGAGCAAGGGCGCACGTGTCAACTGCCCATGTCTAAGAGCCTCCTCTCAGCAAAGGCTGGCTCAGCATTTCAAGCACAACATGTACACAGCGAATAGCAGCATGGAAAATACATGCAGCCGCAAACCGCTGAGGGTCACACATGAAGTCTCAGTTGTATACGTGGTATTTAAGCCGCAGGTTCATACGCGAACTCATGCTGAAGGACCTGGGAGAATAGGTCGGGCTGGGAACCGCAAACTCTTCCTTCTTCTTGTCATCACTCTTCTCGGCCTTGCATGGCTTCAGCCCAAGAGCTCTGGCTTGCAACTTTTGTACATTGCACGGACTCAGGCCCACATCCACAAAGACTGCACGAACAGCTTCTAGTCATGGCTAGGAAGGACTCCAGCTGAGCTTGCCTGGAAAGCTTGAATGGTCACTCGTGTTCCTCTAAGCAATTGAACACTCTTTTGCTCCCCTGCACAAACAGCAACGACCATAGAATACAGAGTGCAGGCTCTGCAACGAGGCCCTGACTGGGGAGTACTCTGCGCTGGCCGGAGAGTATGCGAAGGCCGAGAACGGGCTGGCCATAGAGAAGTCGCTCCGAGCAGGTGTGTACATCCTGGCAGCGGAACCAGGCTCCGACTGTGATGTAGCCTCTGTCTATCATCTACAGACCGGCTTGATGCATCCTGCTCCCCTCCAGTGGATTTCACGGTTCTCCCTACCATCCCACATCGACCCAACTGACAAGCATTCTAGACAGGCGCTCCACAAGTTCAGGGCACACATGTGACGGCACCTGTCCAGTCTGGTCCTGGAGGTTTACAATGCAAGCGACGACTCAGCATCACGATCGAGAACAAACGCCAGCATGCTGCTTGTGAACTTTTTGGTATCCAAGCATATCATCGGGAATGCTTCGCCAGAAGACCAACCGAAGGCACAGTGCTAGCGATACTCACAGTGAGAATGCTACGGAATACTGTTTGATATCTTCAGTGGCCTTCGCTTGGCGAACCTCTCGTGAAATCTGAGCGTGCCCGAGCCCATCCAAGAGGCTCTAACTCCATCGCCCACGCCACGTCAACGGGTTCGTGACACGAGACTCTCTGCCTGCTTTTTCACAAATGCACTAGTCACTGATGCATCTCCAACCATCTCAACCATCGACCTTTATACTGCAGTGAGTCTCGTCGTCTGGCTCGGCAGCGCTCTGCAGAACGGACCCCACCCGCTTGGCACTTGAAGTGTTACGGTTAGCCTCTTGGAGTGCTAGGCTACTTGCACGCGGTTAGCAACAATCAGGATGCTTGGCAGGGCGACCCTGCACGAACTCACCTTCACGACCACCAAGCCTCGCATGCAAATAGTTCCCTCGAAACCCATCGCTCACCCTCACATGCCAAACCTTGGACCCACGGCTCTGAAGCCGACCTATATAGTCTGGGTGTGGTAAGTTCCGCCATTCTGGCAGCACGTTCCTTAAAAAGTCGATGGCAGCGAATCGATTCACGTTGGGATGCTCCTGACAGGGTGCGAGGGAAGAATCCTTAGAATACAGGACGTGGGCCCGAACCCGATTTCGATCTCGAGTCAAAATCAAAACCTGCACTTCGGAGCCCCGACTCTGGGGTTCTTTTGCATCCACATCTGGCGCTGCTACGACCCGTCAGATGCTGCTCAGTTGTAGTACACCTGGTGCAAGGCGTGGATGGACTCTCTTGAGGCTTCTGGTCGGCGTTTTCGATTGCATGAGGCAACGCATACCGCAGCAGGGAGCTGTCCAAGTCTGTCCAGAAGAGACCCGATGCCCCTGGTTCCTGGAGTGCTTTCATCAAGATCAGGCTACGAGGTTCAACATCGACGCAGCAGCACAGTGCCTTGGCAGGAAGTTGGCCCAAAAAGCGATCACGGCTCCACTCACCGTTTCGACCTCTCAGGCTGCAAGGCTTCGTGGATGACAAGCACGAGCTACGGCTGATCAGCAAAAACCTCCAACTTGCAACCGCAGGAGTATTGTCCAACGCCGCAACATGAAAGAACAGCTCGGCGGAGAATTCTGAGGCTTCGGACCACGTAAAAGAGATTAAAGGACGATTAAGGGATTATGAGGTTACAGCGAGGCACTGTATTCGTTTTGTGGGACCGGCACTATCAGGGGCACTGCTGGTAGGCTGCGCTACAACAGGAGGAGCATGGACTAGTGGTGCCAGCAGCTACTACGGTGAAGAGTCTTTTCTTCTTGCGGCAGCACTAGTATAGGTAGTCAGACCTGGACTCATACTATAGAGCATGTAAAGCTTTCTAAAGATGGCAGTAGCTGCAGCTGCGAGGGAACTACATAGGAGCACCGGCTGCAAGAAACCACAGGCTGAAGCGGACTGCTGGCTGCAGGAGACAGAACTGCAGGGTCTGCGGGTTGCAGAAAGCCCATCCGGCCAAACCCGAAACCCCCCGAATATGCTGACTGCCCGATCCCAAATCAAGTTCAATATTGGGAAGGTGTATGCTTGAAAATAGTAGTATCATGTGCTTCTCTGCATCATGACTCGCTTACCGCTCGGCCTGTGACGATGTCGCCAATCACACGTCCTTGTGACGAGGGCCCACACAATGGCTTCCAACAGGATTCTAGACTTTAGACGGCCAAGGCAGCGACCAACGAAGGTTCCACCTCAGCTGAAAGGTGACAGATCTTGACGGTGAACGCAAGAACATGCAAAGCAAGGATCACGACGATATGTAAGGGAGACTCGCATTGTACATTTCTTGGAGGAAGCCGGCCAACGAAAGCTCCGGACCATAGAAGATGAAGGGAAGAGCGACGAGACGCGATTGGTAGTTGTACCTGCGCGCGCGTCCGTCTTTTGGCGATGGTGACTACTTTCTCGACGGCCGTCACGTCTGACTCTGTCTGACTCGGCTTGATGGCTAGGCCTTGAGTCCTTGAGTACATGAAGGCTGGCCGGTGGCCTGCGGAAGGACCACCAAGTCAGCCCAGCCATGGTGAACCTCGTAGTTCCGAGATGAGGTTGTCACTAGAGGCTTTTCATTCGGGACTGTGTGGAGAAGGATAGCAGCATGGCGCGCACAAGTCTGCTCTCGTTGATGTTTCTGTGACTCCGTCTTTCAGTAGCATGACTGCGTCCCCAGCGCAGTGTCCCACATGAAGTTCGTGGCCACCACCTACGAGCTGAAAGCTTATCCAGCACTCAGCCGTCACTGCATGGTTCGCACTGCCTCCCTTGAGCAATTTTCAGTTTAGCACAGAGCACGGAGCGGTGCTTCCCGACACCCAAAAACTGCCCGCTGTCAAGTGTGCAGGCCGGCCTCCTTCCGAACGGACTCCTGGAGAGCTTTGAAAAGCGTTGTAGCACGGAGAACCGGTATCTAGAGGGCCTAGGATTTCTGCCATGCCAACATGTGCAGCCTTCATGACTTTGAAAGCGAGCCGTCCTGTCGGCGGATGCAGATCTGGTTGGCTTCAGAGACGTCCTGGCTTGCACAGCCGGCGAGCGGTGCAACTGACACATGAAGCTCCCGAATTGGACTGTTGCTTCTTCTTTCGTTGTTTTCTTAGGTGCAGAGTGCAAAGCAGGCGCTTCAGCACCTCAGAGCTGAGATTCACGCTTGGGAAAACGTTCACTTTGAAATTTGCATCAGCTGACAAGGACAACAATTGCTCTTTCCCTTGTGCAGCGGTTCTGGTGGGATCTTGACTGGTTGGGATTTGGCTGAGACTCCGGCTTCAATAATTACATCGCTTTTTAACCTTTCTTCAAACATCTTTGGCCAGAATCCCACGCCGAGCGGACTCGCAAATCAACAGTGGATGCGTAGATAGGGTAATTAAATACTCAGCCGCCATCTCGGGGAGATGGCCTTGCGACAGGCTTGGGTGCAGAATGTCTCGTTGCTTGCGCGAGGCGGCTGGGACCTGTTCTCAAAATGGAAGTTTCTAACCTCGGCCTTCGAGTAGGTCCGCATCGCATTCTGATTCGCAGGATGGGTGTAGCCACGCTGATTCCGGTTATGCTTTTTGCTTTGCATCAGGTGTGGGGCCTTACGGAACCCTATACTGAAGAAAGTGCTGACAGAAATTGCCAGGATGACATCCGGATCGAACTTCCGGGAGAGGATCTTGCGCTTGTCGCCCTTGTCCAACCTCAGCAGATGCACGAACCAGCCAATGTCTTGCATGTGAAACCTCGTGCATGCCTCCTCTAGTACTTTACAGGCCTGGATTCACTTGGGTATGTTGGACGTTTTCCGTTGCATTAGCTTTGGGTCAGCGCTTTCATGTTTGCTGGTATCCGTGCTGGACGGAGGCTTGAAGAGGAACGGGCTTAGCAATCGTCGTTTGTCGTGCCTGCGCATACATTTGTGCGATGCTCTATCTACGCTTTAGGTCCATTAGAGTCTGGGGCACCTTTTCGCACAGCAATCAAACTCATATTGTGCAGATAGACGTCCGGGACCGGCAGGCTTCAGCTTGCACGTAAGAACTTGACACATATGTCATGGCATATATTACCTTCACACGAAGCGCACCTGCACTGCCGGCACCGGCTGCACTAAAACGCAAAAGCCGTGACTCGTCCGCATTCACTCGATCCGTATCATGGCCAATGGCATGTTTGCGACAAAGCCGTGCACTCTGAGTTTGCCCATCTACCATGTGCCACCGGCAGCTATGAGCCGAAGGCTGCTGCACATTTGCCGAAGATGTAGGGTTTCTCACCTTTTGCTCCTCCTGGATGCTGAGACTCTGGCTTGCTGTAGTGAAGGTGGAGCATAGGTGCCTTAGCTCGATTGGGCCGGGATGCATCAGAGCCCCTACTGTGCTGCGAAAGTCTCTTGATGCCTGAGCTCACCGCCATGCCTAGGAGGCCAGTGCGCTCCCAGGGCATCAGCTTGCGCCTGAAAAAAACTCTGGCAACATCCGTCGATGTGTTCGCTCTCTGGGGTGCGACAATCTGTGCAGGAATGCTTCCGGCTGCCAAGCTAGCGTGCTGTTCAGTATCACGGATCTCCTTTCAAGCCGCCAGTATTCGACGAACACCTGTAACACCCCATCGTATGGCGCCATTGGTGCTCTGGCTGAGGATTCCGATGCACTGCATCATTTGCAAAGAACCCGTTCAGGCCCCGTGCTTTCCGATCGTCTTCTTCTCCTCGACGATGGTGATGTCCGAAGGCACCACCTGTCAGCTTCTCCACGCGCAGCCGCCACTGCTCTGCTTTCTTCAAAGGTTCTGGAGTTGCCCTTAGAATCCTGAGCTTCCATATACTGCAGTATCTTGGATCGTACTGGGGCTGCCGCAATGCTTGCCATTGCGTCCAATCGCTCCGAGAGTGGGAAGCCTTAGCGGCTGCTAATCCCCTTCCTGGGAACCGTTTCGTGCTTCTGTAGTTGCTGCGCGGAGGTCAAAAAATGATTGCCTCTGGGCACAACACGCTTGCCAACACATGCAAAAAGCCGACGGATCGCAGCAGACGTCAGCGGGAGTTAGAATTATTGGATCAAGTGTGTCAAGAACTTTCGCCGTATCCCGGAGAGAATAAGTCTCAATCGAGTCCGAAGATATGAATGCTTTCATTCGGCGAGACGCGGTTACCAAGGAAGGCGCGGCACGGCCGAGATCAAAAAGCGCTGAGCCAAAGCAATTCGACGTCACGTAATGGCCAGAGCTTTCGAATTTCACTGGCTGAAGCAGAGGAAAATTGCAGTGTGCAGTTCGGGCTGGCGATATAAGACAGGGAGGGTGCTGCATACTGTGCCAAAGCTTGACTAAGCTACCCAACGCCCTCAACTGGCTTCAAGCAGCCATGATAGCTTTACCATAGTGCACAGTGTGCATGAGTCAAGCCAAGCAGGGGTCACCCGCCGTAGGGCGTTGCTCGAGGCGTAGCCTGGAGAGGATTCTGTCTTGCACGGCTCTGCAAACTGCTGAGCTGTTTACGCTGTCGGGACGTTAGAGTAACTTGCAAGACATGCCACAGCCATGGTAACTGATCTAGCGGTTTGCAACATCATACTCATATGCCTGGTTCACTCTGCAGGTCGTTTCACGTAGCTCGTGCTTGTTGCTCTCTTGGAGCTGCTCTGGTCGAGCGTGTTATAGTATGAATCTAAGCATGGTCTCACGCATCCAAGCTGGTCGAGGTTGCTATGCGAAGTCTCCGTTCTTGGTATAACATTACTACCTAAACAGCTGCTTCCATTGAGCGTGGACGACTACTTCCCATGCAGGCAACACCCACCTTTACGGCTCGTGCCTGCCGTTTCTGACAGCTTGACTGTCAATTCGTTGATCCCTTTGCTTTCGTTTCGCGGCCAAGTGTTGTAGTATTCCTGCTTCTTCGACGACAGCCTGCAATCAGCCATGAACGAGAAAGGGCAGAATCATCAAGTAAGACTCTACTACTCCACGAAGGCAACGCGGCCTCTGATCCACCCGGCCTCTCGAGACCTATACTCGACTGTCTGCACTGAGAGTCGTCTCAGCTCCGACTTCAGCCAAACCCACAACTTACTAAATGGAATTCTACTCACCAACTGCGAAGCTGGAATCTACAATCAGCCTCCCTACCAGCCGCATTTTAAGGAACGTGTCACCTCAACACACGCACACACACACACACACACACACACACACATACATCCGGCACACTATTCTGCTCTAATGGCCAGAAGATGCATGCTTCACTGGGTTCCTGACCCGCACAGAGAATGGTGACGGCCCACCGGCTGGTGCCACGCTGAAAGGGGATCGGAAGGCGCCTCACGCCATGTTGTTTCCCATGGGAAGGTTCTCGCACCGCCTGCAATACGACTCTCGCAACTTCAGCAGGCTCCAGCTCAGGCCTTCTCCCAAATCCCCGGGTGAGTCCGGCGACACCTGTGCCGTTTGTGCTTTCAGTTCCTCTTTCGTGTCTTGCAGGCCCTTCACTCTGTACAGATGCCGCAGCTTAGGAAGTGTTGAGCCGATTTGGGGTGGTTGTTCTCTGCAAATGCCCCTGAAAATTTCGACCGCCAGGGTCCGCAAGACTCACAAGACTATTTACACACCACAACTTCTCCCACGCACACTTGCATATCAAGACGCCGATGAAACTTCTTCTCCCCCCTAGCCCGAAGAGCACCTCCGGTGTCGCCATTTGAGCATATGTGCCTGGCAGGGCATGAGCTTGTGGTGTCTGCGGGGACTTTATCACACTCGGCCTATCTTTGCAATCTTCTTGAACCCGTGTAAGCATGAGAGTTCTACAAGCCCACAGACAGGAATGCCTGAACTTATTCAGGGCTCTCTGCCGGTAGGGAGTGTGTGACTTGCGCTGACCGCTGTCGTTCACAAGGATCGGGCGAAGTCGAAACGCCATCCAGTATGCAGCTCAGAGCGTTGGGAACCTGGGCCCAGCCTCCGGTCGTAGGGAAGAGGCCGTCGATCATTGCCTGGTCACCATGTGGCAGCGGCTCCATGGGAAAATGTCTGAAAGTATGCTGTTCAGCATTACAACAAGCCCCTCTTGCGGCCCGGGTTGAGATGCAGGGCACTGAATGCATTGGCTGCCTCGTCCTCATGCGGCGTTTCGGCCTTGTCTGTACGGAGATGCCCGCACGTTGACAAAGCGTATATACTGTCTACAACTGCACGGACAAACCCTGTAACTCTTCAAGCATTCTCTCGAACGTTTGGTTGTGTTCAGCTGCCCTGTGCACACATGCAAAATCTTGATGGCTTCGGTTCTTGGGCCCAGGCGTTCTCTTCAAGGTCATCATCCTCCATGTGAGGCTCCGGGGTGTTCACGGAATAGTACTGCCACAAAAGCGTCCACAAAGCAGTCCATTGTCTAGACTCTATACACTGTCAGAGCTCCATCAAGGCTTTGGGACACCCACAGGGAATCAGCCAGCTCCGAGCCTCACCGCTCTTGGACTTGCTAGGCAGCACCTTGGAATGTCTGGGTTACGGTCGCGTCTCAAAGTCGACGCAGGGGCCCCGACCACGGTGGCGTGATCCAGAGAACAGAGAGGCTGAAGGCTCGTCTCTGGGTCCTGCGTATAAACGTCTCTATATCGTGGCATACAATGCAGCGTATGTACCAAAACTCCCCAAGCCCAAGCCCAAGCCGCTCCACGGTCTTCATGTCATCCATGTGGACGTCGAAGCTCCCGGTGCCAATCTCAGATTCAGCAGAGATGCAAACAGTCACAGCAGAAGTGACTGCGCTGCTGGGGAGTGCGCTGGAACCAGCTGACCAAAGATGATGTTCTCGGACACCGATCGCATGTGGTCCGTCTGCAAGCATGGCGGTCCCAACACAGAGTCCCACAACACCTACATCGCCGAAAAACTTATGAGCAGCCATGAACGGGGACAGTGAGCCTCGTGGTACACTGCTGCATCCATCAGAATCTCCACCTGAAAAGCGTGGAAGATTCGATCCATGTGCCCTGGTACTGGCATGAAGTCAAAGCGCCACCAAGAAAGGAGGTGTCCGAAAGGCAAGGCCATGCCTCCCTTCAGCCCCCAGACGTAGCTAGGGAAGGAATCTACCAAGCGCTAAACGGACAACGAAAGACCAAGGCCCCCTGCCGTCTCTTCGAAGCTACCTGACAAGCCAGCAGCGCAGTCACAACGCGTAGCGCGCAAACCGCCAGACAGGGACTGAACGACTCACTATCTTATTATCTTCTCGGAAGCGGTCGCTGTGCTACGAGAAGCGATTGATGCATTTGCTCTAACCCAAGAAGCAACATGACACCACGCAAATCTGATCAGAAAGCAACAAGTAGAACTGTTTTGCTTTCCAGAAGCAAGTCTTGGCAGGGTCAAAGGTCGATCGTGTAACTCGACAAAGACAAGAGCTTGCAAACAAATGGGATGCTGGAGGTCGTGGCAATGGTGGTGACGGCCGAACTGCTATAGCGTAGTGGCAGTGGTAGTAGTAGTAGTCGTCGTCGTCGTAGTAGCAGTAGTAGTAGCAGTAGTAGCAGTAGTAGCAGTAGTAGCAGTAGCAGTAGCAGTAGCAGTAGCAGTAGCAGTAGTAGTAGTAGTAGTAGTAGTAGTAGTAGTAGTAGTAGTCGTAGTAGTAGTAGTAGTAGTAGTAGTAGTAGTAGAAGTCGTAGTAGTAGCAGTAGTAGTAGTCGTCGTCATCGTTGTCGTCGTCGTTGTTCGACGGAATTAACAGTAGCAGTGGTGCTTGTAGTTGGGGCGGCAGGTGGAGTGCAAAGCAGAACATGCTGAGGAAAACGCATTTCATCAGCGGGCCCATGTTGGTGCGATTCACACCGTGGCGAGTGATCGCCATTAGGTGCCTCGCAAATTTTTGGCAACATCTTAAAGCCCAGCTGCATACTCCACATCCTCCACGAACAAGGACCAACACTGAGATTTGGAGCACATGCAAACATGACGAGACGGGTATGCAACCCATTGGAATTAGGTCTCCAACTTTATGATCGCTTCCAAGCATTGCTGGAATCTGAGGTGCCGCGCCCTCGATTCGTCATGACATCGCACATTGTGCCAAGATGCCGGTAGTTGACCTCAGTGACAGCTGTACTGAGGCAGTTCCTGCGAAACGAGATGCATCAACTTCATCTTCCTGCAGCTTGGCGCCGAGCTCTAGAGTCTAGATGCACCTCCTATACTGTGAGAAGCGGCGACTATATACCATAGACATCTGCAGACTGCACTCTTGGTTCCTGGATGGCCTGAGAGACGATGGACTGCTACGAGTGTTATGTTCGAGTCTGCATGTGGCAAGGGCTAGTCACCTGGATAGCCGCAAGAGCCGACACACGAAGTAGCCGATGGGGTACAGTTTTCCTACACGCACTTGCCTGTATCGCTCACACCTGACACTGCTGCAAGGCACAGGCATAAGAGCCATCGAAGGAGATCACCATGCGGACATGGAAGAGAAGAGCCTGCCGACAGTGACCAGGTGACCAATGACCGTCAAACGGTCTTGTGGCCATGCACAACACGCGGCCGGTTCGGCATTGTCTACCGTCTCAAAGCCAAGCAAACAAACATTCTCGCCGATATAATCTCCGATGTCAGCCCCTCAAACCTCCTGCATCGCCGCGAAGCCGCTACGGAAAACGTCTCTGCAGCGTCCCCAAACTTTGCGAGCTGATCTTGCCTCTGTCTGTGCAACGAGGCTCCAGATCAACATCTGAATCTGTCTCAAGCCAAAACCGGCCTCTAACGAACCTACGACTGTCAAACCGACCTGACGCTTCGCCCCGGTGCTGAGAGCGACGGACGTCTGCTGCCTTATCGCCATCCTGCCTTCCGGGTCGCCTCGATGCCTAGCACGTTCAGGACCTCAACGATGTCGTTGCTTTGCAGGCGCTTGTAGTCCACCTCAAGAAGCGTGACGCTTCCGACAGTAGCACAGACGCGTCTCCGTCGGCCGGCTTGGCTCGCACTCGCAGACCCGAGATGCCTCGCCTCCTCGAGAAGCATGACCTCCTCCATGTTGACCTGGCCAGGGCAGCTGGTCTTGGGAGACTCCGATGGAAACCAGCCAAACATTGTGGCGCCACGCCGTCTGTGTCCAGCACCCACTCCTGTGACCGCTCGAACTTGCCAGTCTTCTCGTCGTACCTCGATTCTCTTTCAACTTGTGTTGGTGCAACAAATGCAGAGCGTGAGCCCGTAGTGATGGACCCCAACCCGGGACACGACCGGATAAATCTATGCCGGAAGGGCACTTGGTCACCTTGTCTTCACGCATGAACACCTGGCAAGAATTACTGGCTGGTTGCTGCGATGCGGGGTGCTAAATTGCAAGCATTCTTACATTCAGAATGGGAGTAGTTTCTCATTGCTCTAAGATCGTCCCATCCAAACATTCAGCAATGAAGATTGCTGCTGCTGCTGCTGCTGCTGCTTCGTGCCGCCGGCTTCTGAGAAAATCGAATCAGTCCCCTCGCAAACGGAAGCACGGGGTAGGGTCCACCGTGGACCTTGTAGGGTGGGTAGGGAAAGGGTCCATTGTCGGCACGGGTCCGAGCGTGCAATCAAGTTCATCGGTCAGACATTGGGCCCTTGGGTTCTTCCAACATCACTGCTGCTTTCCGATAGCTCTACCACTGTGGATCTCCGGTTTCGGCTCGACACTGATACCCCCACACCAAAACCTTCCCTCGGCCAGACTAGAGGACTCTGCAGCTCAGGCTGTCGTGAGGCAATAACTTCGTCTCAGATTAATCAACTTACACCAGCAGGGGAATGCGGAGTCGTCGGTGTCCTGTCCGCGGCTTTCAGGTGGGCGAAAACCAGAACATTGTCGGTGGGGTTTTATGGTCGGGGCATTTGGCTGGGTCAATGCATTGGGTCATCACTAAGTGCGGGAGTGTACGGGGGCGAGGAACCATGCCGAGATAGATCGAAATAGTCTTGATTCATACGTCTGTTCGGCTTGGTGTTGAGTGCTGATTTGGATGCGCCGAGCTGTCGTTGTGGCAGGGCACAGGTACTTGTTGGTGGGGCGAATCCAAGTTACGCAAGTCTCAGCTACGACGTGGACCTTCTTGATGCCCTGGATGCCCTTCAAGGTCATCTCCTTGAGAATGTTGGACTCGATCGTCCTGAGCCAACGAATGCAGGGCGCTGGCTGGGGCCCCTCGAATCTCGATTTTGGTTTTAGGCCCGGCCTCAGGAATTTGAAATTCTTGTCCTCGGTGTCATCCCGGGGGTCATAGGGTCTGGGGGCCTCGGCTGGCATAGTCGATCGCCATCGCGCCCTGTGACTAAAACATACACTTCCATGGCCATAGGCTTGACCACCTCTCTATCTATCTATCTGTCATCTATCCATCCATCTATCGCTCTACATACACATGCAAACATCAACAACGCCGTTGCTTAGTCCACTTCAAACTAAGGAAACGTTGCCGACTGCCTGTTCAAAAGTGTGGCTGAGACTCAGACGACACCAATCTGATCAGGCTCCTGAAGGTCATGTTCAGATGTTGTATGAGAAAACCCCAAAAGAAGGGCAGCATAAGATGAGCAGTCATAGCAAGGTCTGGTAAGCCGTCACGGTTACGTTTGGCAAGCTGAGTTCGCAATTTTGTACATTCTTTGGTTCTGTCAGATTCAGGTGGCAGCTCAAGGTCCCGCAGGCGCAGACAAGGATGCTTGGCTCAAAGGCAAGTCAGTAGGGGCGGTTACACAGTACTGTAGTGCGGTGCCCTTGGGCCGGCGTCCTTGAGAAGTCGAATCCGGAGGACGAGCTCTTCGGCATTGTCATCTGTGAAGATGCCTCAGAAACGGTAAACCGCCACTAAAGACTGGAGCACCGACGAAGAATCAGTCTATAGTGAGTCTAGTTGCAGTCGAGGTCATTCTGGAAATCGCTCAGGATGCGCTCTCCCACCTGCAAACGGCCGGATTCGTGGCTTCTCTATCTCGGAGATTGCACTCGACATGTGCTGACCCATAGCGGGCTCTGTTCTTTGGCACCCCTCTTCAGAAGGGCAGCCGCGCAGCTCTGTGCGACCGGTGAACCTCGCGCACCGTAAGCTTTTTGTCCGTCATTACCTGGCAGCTGTGCAAACATGTCGAGATGTGGGCAATTGATTTACGCCAACACTATCGCAATCTAGGCGTCTCCTCATAAAGTGGTTGCTTCTGCGTCTGGTCAATCCGCCTTGTTGCTCAACTGGATGCGCAACAGCCTCAGTTCTGAAAATGATGCTAGCAAGTTGACCGGGGACGAGGTTGGCAAAACAGTCTTCAGGAATGTAGCTTGAGGCTGGAGCCAAGGTCCACAACGCTGCGGGTTCTCGTCCTCGTCTGGAAGCTCGTAATACCTGCTGCACGTGAATGCCGATTGCTGGGAAGGTGCACTCACATCTTGAGCTCAAGGTGAGATTGCGTACAAAACTCGGATAAACCAATAGATAACGCAAGCAGCTTTGTTTGTTGCAGTATGGAGGCCGAAGGAGGCCACGTCACTGGACAGAAGCAACTGGTAATTAGCATTGAAGGAACTGCAAGACAACGTACAGAAAGGCCCACACTTTTCGGCGACAATGCAGGGGCACAAGGAGACCCACTCCTGATCCTCCTCAACAAGCGTATGCTCCGGATCGGGATCCCAGAAGATCTGCGGCAAGAAAGAACGGCTTGTCTGGCTCCATACCGCCTTACTCTCGACCTTTGATGTCTGGTATGCGCCTGAATCACAACATATTGTTGACTTGAAGCTCGATTCAATTCTGTAGGCTTGCTGGCCACAAAATGCACTGGTGAAAAGACGTGGAAGCGCCAGCTCAGTTGCCTGAGTGAAGGAGGTCACCTTCTCAAGGGTCGTGTGCTCGAGCATACTCTGAACATCCTGCAGCCAGCTACGGTAGAGCTAGGCGGGGGACTTCAATTCATGGCCTTCATGATGTGTCCCTGGCCCTATTTGGGCTCGTCCTTGGCACGTTCCTGGTTTTGACCCAGGTCCCCGCTCAGGTATACAGCCTCGGGCTCTTGCTACGATCGAAACTTCAGAAACCACAAACTTTTAGCTAGGGCGCATGTAGCTTCGTGGAAAGTTGGTGCATCTGTCAACGACTTGAGTGATTTGTTAAGCCCAGGGCCAAGGAAGGCGTCTTCACTACCTTCGCCACGTTGATCAGCTCCTGTTTTTATTTGAATCAGCATCGCACGCTCACGAGACTCAGCCGTACGAGCGATGCCATGTGACACAGTGCATCAAGACGGAGCATCTGGAGTTTGTATTGGTCCTAGGCTCGGGCTGGGTGCCGACTCGCAAGCAAGTCCAAACGGAAGGACTGCTCAAACCATGGACGTGAGGCTTTCCTGCAAAGCTTCAATGCAACAGCCGACCTTCAAGCGGGGGACCCCCAGCGTGACGTTCTTGGCACCCACTCCGGCGAAGTGGAAGGTATTCTGCAACCAACGCTGCGGAACAGGTCTTCAGCAATGTTCTGGATGCATGCGTGCCGGTTGCTTTGGTTGGTAAGTACTAATTATGCAAGATGACCAATGGATGCTGCTGCAGTTCATTGCTAGCTAGAAATTGTTACCTTGATTGCCGTTTGCACTCTTTGGTGCACCCTCGTGCCGGTAGAAAACTGGAAGAAACTGATTTCCACACGACCAATTTCAATGCACATGTCTGGGTGTGATTCTGAGGACTGACTCAGTCAGTGAGTCAGGGGAGGGACGGAGGGAGCGAGGGGAGCCAGTACGGATGGCGTGTCTGATTTACTGCACACGTCTGTCAACACATCAGCTAACATCCCTCTGAAGGTTCGTTTGTGACGGAAGGGGGCGTGCCAGCGTCATTTGCGTCGCCGGCTCACCAACACCTCAACGAGGCACATGACAAAAGAACTCCACGCGGCCGTCGACCCACAATTCCAAGGCATTCTCTGCAACATTGGCAACTTGACGCAGAGAACGTCGGCCTTGTTTGCTGCTGTCCAAAATCTCAAAGATGAGTCCCACAATAAGGTGCTGGCTTTGCGCTGCCAACGTTCCAATCACTTCACCTGGCAAGGCAGAACAGGTGCTGCGAGGTGTAGGGCAGCCAGAGAATGCAGCATGCATGTTATCCCTCAGCATGTAAGGCTCTGGACACTTGCTATTCCAGCAGAGAGCAAAGTGCAAACCGAAGACGATCCTGGGTTTGCCCTCTTTCTCTGTGCGGCTTCGTCCTCTCGACGATGGTTCTGCCCTAACCGATGAGTCAAGTCCAGAAAGCGCAACAGCAGCAGATTGCCGGTTCTGGCAGTGAGGTGGGCAAGACCTCCCGGGAAGATGACACTGAGCCATCAGGTCTGAGACGTCGTCATGCAAGGACGTGCATAGAACCACAAAGTGTTCCCGGGCAGGATGACATGCGTACAGGTTCTGGCCCGTCGGCTGTTAGCTGTGTTGATGCTGCATTTCCTTGCATGGCATGAGCGTTTGACATGACGAAAGGCTTCTACCTGCCGTAACCGGACACCCAGCCTCTGAATGCATCGGTTAGAACTCCCAATACTCTGGAGACAGGATTGGGTCGTACTCTCTTCAGAACAAGGCGCTGCGCGGAGCGTGATGCGACAATGGGGACTCTGCTCCACTTATTGATTCCTCCAAATCCATGCCGTCGGTTGTGACTTCAGGTCTTGTCCGACATGTCTTGTCAAGCTCGGGGACCGCCAGCTGTCGCATCAGCAGTGACCCCGCCAGCAAGATGAATTTACAGTCGCCAGGGCCGTCACAGGCGTACTGGAACATGCGTTGAAGCAAACATGGCCTGGACGCATGTAGGTTGACATTGTGCAAAGACATCGTAACAATGAGAAAAGCATTGTCAGCACAGCTGATGCGGATGCCGGGAACCGGCACTCTACCCCTATCAGGACCAACATCTCTGCTGCTCCTGACTGCTTCTAGTTTCAGGTGATTCCCACCGACTGCCTTCCTCCTAGCACTGTAGCACTGAACCACATAACTCACAGCAGGAAGCCACGCGAAGACCCTCGGCGACGGGCCTCCTCAAACAACTAGATCTGAGAGATCCGAGTTCGTGCAGCTCGCAACTCGCAACTATGAGTTCTTGCTTCGGCCATTCATGAAGTGTGATCTGGTTGACGGGAGCCCTTGAAAAGGTACAGTCACTCCGAATGTTGTCCTGCTGCACCGAGCCTGCATCCCTGCCTTGATGTTACTCTGTTACTTCATATACCAAATATACCATCTATGATGGGCCACTCTGCTCCCGTTACTGTACTCGTGCTTGCAGGAAATCTTGCAACGCTTGATGTCCATGTTCCAAAGAGCTAACGTTAGCGCGAATCAAGGCAAGAAACGGAGCTCGGTACAGCGCAGCTCAACCAAGCTTAGGCTGACCACGAATTTCACTAGAGTGGCTGAATTTAATTTCGTCAAGGGCTCGAGCTCGACATGAAGAGTACGTAAATCCGTATGAATGTATCGCACTACAGAATCTCCTCAATGCCGACAAGATGAAGATGGGAAGTGCCGGAGCTGGGCACCAGCATTAATTGGCTTCTGTCCATGATCCATAGCGCCCCTACCAGCCAGGCCCAGCCGTTCCGATTCGACGATCGAAAGGATATGATCTATAGGGCTCCCAGCAACAACTGTGTGCTGTGTGGTGAGCATGCGTGTGAAAGGCGTGCTTAAGCAAGCATCCCTTCCAAACGACGGCATGCGAGAAAAGAAGTGTCTTCGTCCTGCTAAGCGTAGGGATATATTATTGCCTTCACAAGCAGCAAAACCCAAAATGAATCCATGTGCGTGTCTTCAGAATGCTCGCTGTACAATCTGGATGTGGGTTCGTCATGCGTGCTCGATGCCCACGGGGTTCATGCAACATTTTACGGCTTAGCAGAATTTTAAAAGAAGGCCAGGTGTCTTGCTTTGCCGGCTGCTTGCGCAATCTGACTTCACCTGGAAAGGCAGGGCTCTGGCTCCGGAAGACATATTACTACTGCTACTAGTACTGGTACTAGTACTAGTACTACCAGTACTACTAGTACTCGTATTACTACTTGTACTAATGACTAGTACTACAAGTACAACTGGTACTACTTGTACTACTTACACCACTACTACTACTACTACTACTACTACTACTACTACTACTACTACTACTACCACTACCTACTACTTCTGCTACTACTACTACTACTACTACTACTCCTCTCCTCCTCCTCCTCCTGCTCCTCCTGCTCCTGCTGCTGCTGCTGCTGCTGCTGCTGCTGCTGCTGCTGCTGCTGCCTGCCGCTACCGCTGCTGCTACTGCTGCTGCTGCTACTCCTACTACTGCCACTACTACTCCTCCTACGGTGTAGTACTGTGATGAGAAAATTTTATATCAGTCAAGAGGTTAGAGTCTGAAGCTAGAACAGAATAGAAATCCAGACGCTCTTCTGTTCCCGTGAGCTGGATGCGGGGATTCTTGCATTGCGGTGCTCTTTTATTGTGCAGACCATTGCTTTAATGGACCCGGTTTTAGCTAATGATTTAAAAGGATTATAGAGTTTGACAAGCTGGTAGTAAGCGAGTAGTAACCTAATTATAACCCAGTAGTAAACTGTTATAAGTGTGATAAACGGTTATTGAAGTTATGTGGGATTATATAGAAGTTATAATTTTTAAGGAGTTTATACAAGAGGTTATGATAGGTTATCTAAGTGGTTAAGCATAAAGAATGTAAGTCGTATAATGGTTATAATCGGGATTACATATCCACTTATCAGACACACACTACTGCCATTTTACTGGGTCACGCTGTCTATATATTTCATGGTTGATATAGGCCCAGAGGCAAGTTGGTGTGCGATTGGAACCAGTTTTTCCCTTGACATGGCGGGATTGTGTTTCTGAATCCGCTTTACCATTGCATCCCATTTGCTGCCTGCATCAAGACAAGGGCTCGAAACCCCGAAAGCATGCAAAGCACAACCGCACAATGCAACACCAAGCTTGCATTGAGCCGGTGTGCTCCGGGGACATCTTTCAAAAATTTGCAATGGCTGTTCAATTCCATTTAAAGTTGAGATCAAGTTTCACGTGCCCATGGCGGCGTTGTACGGTTCGTGCATATATGCAGGTGCAGCTCGAGCCAAGTGCGTTGGAGGCAGTGCACGCGTGGCACAGCGGACAGGACATGCAGAGGATGAATGAAGATGAGGAGGAGGACCATGAACTGCCCCGGAGGGGAACGAGCGCTGATATCCAGCGGGCATGCATGCATGCACAGTTCTTCTGTGCAGTTTTGTATATAGCGCATGGATCGCGAAAGCTGTGCGGGATGCTTCTGCGTCCAAAAAGGAAAAGAAGAAGATTTAAGGTTTTATTTGAAATGAATTTTATTGTTATATATATATGTATATGCATATATGCAGGAAGACAATTGAAAGCCGCGCAATCGCATAAATCTTGCCGGTAGCAGCAAATGTTCAATTGTTCATGTGGAGCTGCATAGAGCCCAGAGGCTACAACGCCTGTGGAAGTTCAATTGAGCTTGATTGGAGAAGGGCTCCATGTTTGAAGGCTGAAGTGGAGAAGGGCATTCTGCATGTGCCAGTACGGGAAAGAACGCATGCTTCCGCGCCGCTCCGTCAAGAGAGGGTATAGCTGACGTAGTTGCATGCATGCCTTCACACACGCAGCAGCACGCATGCACAGCAGCAAGCACAGCAGCATGCACAGCAGCATGCAGAGCAGCGCAGCAAGCATGGAGCAGTTATACCTCAAACAGTCGCTTCACTGCACTCTGAAGACTGTAACGCCTTGGGAGTTTACTGCACTTAGAACACTTCGGTCCCAGACCTGGCAGGTCCCTGCAGTCTGAGGCTTGTAACTCCTTATAGAACGGCCACTCTGAGGCCTGTACGCACACACTTCAACATGCAGCATGTAACGCCTTAGGCAGCAACTTCACTGCACTCTAAGACCTGTAACGCCCATAGGACCGTGGCCTCGCGGAGCCATGGACAAGAATGTCGTGAAGGGCATGGTGGACTCCCTTGAGGAGGCGCGTGCAACGCGAACCTTGACCGAGAACGAAGAGCGCTTCATTAGCGAGTACCACCAGGAAGTGAGGGCACAAGCTGCCAGGAAGAAGGGAAGAAGTGCGCCCTCAGAGGCGAAGGAGGACGAGACACTTTCCGAGGAGCCCAGGGTGGGTGGTTTTTTCTATAGTATGTATGTATCTATATATATATATATATCGCTGTATAAATATCGAAACTTGAAGCTAGAAATCCTCATACAAAATATAGAGCTCACTTCTATAAACCTGCTCAAGTCATTTCAGGTTTTTAAATACATATTATATAAGGTTACCTTAAACTACCCCTCTAAACCACCTAACAAATTTAAAGCATGTAGGGTTAATATGTATATATATATATATATATATATATATATATATGGGTTCGATGCCCGCAATACAAAATATCGCGAAGCCTTGAACCCTAAACCTATATAATCTTATTAAAAAACCAGCAAAGCCTGCATGCCAGGACCAGCCGACGAGTCCGAGGACGGAGCCCGACGCGGCTAAGGAGCCCAAGGTGGCTGAAAGGAAGGAGACGGAGTCGGAGGACAGTGCAGCGCCTTCGGTGGCGAAGCGGGAGGCGGAGCAGAGCTCGGAGGGCGAGAAGGCCAAGAAGCTGAAGAAGGAGCGCCGTAGGGCGGAGCGGAGGGCGGAGTCCGAGGAGCGCCGACGCCGGCGGGAGGAAGAAGACCGGGAGCGCAGCAGACGCTTTGAACGGGAGATGGCGGAGTTGAGTGAGAGCATCCAGCGCCAGCGAGAGGCGGAAGCGCAACTATTTGCGGACCGGCTTCGCGAGTGGAGCGACACGCAAGATCGCTGGTGGCGCGAGGCGCAGGAGGAGAGGGCGCGCCGTCGCCGTGATGAGGAGGAGGGGGAGGACCGTCGCAACCGAGGGCGCCGGGACCGGCGAGAGGACAGGAGCGATGATCGCTGGGATGATGGGCGTTATCGCCGAGACGACAGGCGCGATGATCGCCGGGGTGATGGGCGTGATCGCCGAGACGACAGGCGCGGCCATCGCGACCTTGGGCCTGGGCAGTGGCGCCGCTCTGGCGATGATGACACGGACGATGCTTGGTTTTTCGAAGTGATGCGCCACCGAGCAAAAACTGTAAATACTGCATTAAACAAAATTTCACGCATCTGTTGGCAACATCTGGCGGAAGTGAGCTGTGAATCACTTCCGCCAGATGTTGCCCCGTCAACAACCAGCACACCCTCACACCCACAACCCACGCCGCACATCATGCCGAACAACCGGCACAAAACATGCAAACCCACCCCGCGCCCATTCAACCAGCAGCCAACGCCCAGACACCCACAAACCCTAACCCTGAACTATAAACCCTAAAACTCCAAACCCTCAACCCCCTAAACGCCAAACCCCAAACCCCAAGCCCCTAAACCCTAACCCTGAACCTTAAGCACCAAACCCTAAACCTTAAACCCCTTGAACCCCAACTCCTTAATCCCTTATCCCTATGCTTGAACCGTTAACCCTTAAACCCCACATCCTCAACCCTAAACCCTCCAAACCCCAAGCCGCCAACCCTAAACCCTAAACCCAACCCTGAACCGTATAACACCCTATATAACCCCAAACCCTAAACCCACACCCACCCGCCCACCCAAGCAAGCAAGCAGCAGCACGACAGCATCAACGTTAATGGCAACAGCACAACAACAACAACAACAACAACAACAA